CGGAGGGGGGGCTGGGGGGCTGAGTCATCGACTACACAGCCATCAACTGCGTGGAGGAGCACGAGGTGAGGGCACCTTCATGCTGGTCCCTGTCGCCACATGGAGCTGCCAAGGTTGACAGAGAGGGGCACCTCCCTGCCGGTCCTAGTATGAGCTGCTTCAGGTGGGACAGCTCTGCTGAGGCTGGCAGGAAAGTTCGGCTCCTAGGTGGGCAGTCATTGGGCTCAGCGCACTGTCCCTCCCATGAGCACTAGCTCTGTGTTCCCATTGGCCAGAACAGAGGCAGTGCTTGCAGGTGTGCTGCGGAGCCTCATTTCCCCCTCCCTCACAAAAGCCCAACCTGCTGCCAGCCACATCTGGGGTGGGGTGCAGCCCGATGCCCCAGGACAGGCAGGCTCCAGGAAGTCTGCCTTAGTGCTGCTGACCAGGAGCTGCCCTGATAAGCCCAAGATCCAACCTCCAGGTCCCATCCTGAGGCCCTCCATATCTGGAGCCACCTCTGGCATCCCAAGCCCCTCATCCCTGGTCCCACCCCAAAGCTCATACCCCCAGTCCAGAGCCTGTCCTCCTGCCTCTCAGCTCAGAGCTCATTCTTCCTCCTGCACCTCAAACCTGGAGCTCCATTTTGATCCCAAACCCTTCATCCATGGGTCTACCCCAGAGCCCTCACCCCCTCCTACCTCCCCCAACCCTGTGCCTCAATCCGCAGCCCCCTCCTGTATTCAAATTCCTTGGCCCTACCCTGCAGCCTGGAGTCCCTCCAACACCCCAAACTTCCCGTGCCCAGACCCACTCCAGAGCCTTCACTTCCTCCTGCATCCAACTACTTGTCCCAGCCTGGAGCCCCCATTTAGAGCCAGAGCCCCATTTTGAGACGTCATCCAATTTCTGGGTCCCACTATTGCCACGCAGTGTCCATGTATGGAATGACTTTTATGTGATTCATCACTTCCATATTGGTGCACATAGTGATAGTCATTCCATACATGAACATAATAAATTGAAGAGAATGCTGGCCCTCACCCTCCACGCTTACCCCCTCTGCCCAGTCAAACCCCTTCCTGCTACCGTCAGTCCTCACCTCCCAGACTGGCAACCTCTGCCCCATCAGTCTGCTTCCGTCTGCTCCCCACCCCACTTCCCTAGCGATTGGAGTGTGAATTGTGGCAGCCATTACCCCTGTCTTTCTGGTTCAGGGCCTGCGGTACCAGTACTTTGAGCTGGGGAAGAATACAGCCCCAGAGCGAGAGAGTGACCCCCGTTTCCAAAGCGCATTCACTGCCCATCCTGTGCTGGACCCTGTCCAGATGTACAGGCTGCACAAGCACTTTGCCCAGGTGGAGTTGGAGAAGACCTACCAGGAGATCCAGCAGCTCCAGGTGAGCCCAGGCACTGGGGGTGAAGGGCGGTGGTGGGCCCAGGGCTCTGAGTCAGATGGGCAGGGAGCAGCATGGCCACAGCTGGCGCTGCCTTGTCCCAGGTAGGTGTCTCCTTCAATTTCAGTCTGCTTTACCTGTCTGCCAGAGCATAGAATTCAGCCTCGTGCTGGTGACTGACTCTGGCAGGGATGGTTCTGCTGCAGGGGTGGGTCTGCTGGGGTGGCAGAACTTGCTCTCTCCCACAGTTACTCTGGTAGATTTAGGCTGGCCTGATGATAGAGCCCAGTTTTGCACAGTTGCCCAGCTCAAGTGTACCTGCTACTGGCTGCCTTCCTCCTGCAGGGTTTCATCGTTGTATTCCTTTTAAAGGCAGAAAGGACCATGTCACCACTGTGGTGGAGGGTATGCTCTGCCCTCTTGCATAACACAGGCCGGGAATTTCCTGGGAACAGTCCCTGGCTGAACTATAGCAGGTGGTCTAGGACAGCGGTTCCCAACTACCAGCCTTTTGGCTTGCTGTTGGGCCGCAGTGGCTGGTGGGGCTGAAGCCGGCTGTTCCTGGTAGCTCAGCTATGGCAGCCGTGGTGGCTCAGGCAGCAGCAGGAGGTGCTTCCCTCCACCCTCTGTGCTTGGGGAGGGAGGGGGTACAAAGAAGGAGGGAGGCGTGTGCGCCACCAATGGTCGCTCCCTCTGCCCATGTGGCTGCTTTTGCCAGCAGCAGCAGGAGGAGGCGGAGCAGGAGGCCCCTCCCCAGGGTGCCGCGGTGTCGCCCCTCACCCTGCTCCAGCCACACAGCCATTTTGCCAGTGGCAGTGCTAGGGCTCAGGTAGTGGCAGGAGGTGGAAGATCAGGAGGCACCTTCCTCCCTCCTTCCCCCCCCAACCCTGGGTAATGCCAGCCAGGGTTTTGTCCTCTTCCCCCCCGCGCCCCATGGGGGTGCAAGGTGCACTTAGGGAGGGAGGGGGCACGAAGGAGGGCTGCTCCCCCTGCTTGTGGCAGTAACAGCCATGCTCCTTAGAGTGGGCAGCTGTGTTTTAGGGAGTGCGGGGGTGGGATGGGGGCAAGGGGTGATGGGTGAGGATGTGGTGGGGAGTCACGTGATAAGAGGGTATTGTCATGGGAGTAGGGATGGGGTTAAAGGGTGTTAGACACTGGGGAGCAAGGGGCTAGGCAGACGGGTAAACATTTTATTTGCGTAGTCATTATTTGCATAATGATATGCAAAGACACTGTTAACAGTCTGTCAGATGTTTGTGAATGGGTTTGCCAGTCTATGGCATAAAAAAGGTTGGGAACCACTGTTCTAAGAAATGTCTTGTCTCGATTTTTAAAAACTTCCAGTGGTAGGGTATTTTCCATGACCCTTTTTGTAAACTCTTCCAGTGGCTAATTACTGTCACTTAAACCTGTGCACCTAATTTCTAGGGTGAATTTGTCTAGCTTCAGCTTCCAGCCATTGGATCAAGTTAGATCTTCCTCTGAGAGATTGGAGAGCCTTCTGCCATCAAATTTCTAGAGTCCTGTGTGGATACAAAATTTACATCCGCATCTGCAAAAGTGAGCCGCGGATAGCCGCATCGATCTCTGCAGATACGGATACCCATGGATATCTGAGGGTTTGCAGGGCTCTATGCATTTCTGTTCCCTGCGTAGCTACTTGTAGATTTGATCAAGTCACTCTTTATTTTTCTCTTTGGTAAGTTAAATGGATGCAGCTCCTTTAGTCAGTCACTGAAAGACGTGTCTTTCAGTCTTTGAATCGTTCTTGTGGCTCTTCTCTGAACCTTCTCCTAGTTTATCAACACCCTTGAATTGTGAACATCAGACTTGGGCAGAGGATTCCAGCAGCTGCCCCACTGCCAAATACGGAGGTAATATATAGCCTGTCTGCTGCTTCATAGTCTAAGGATGGCAGTAGCCTTTTTGTCTAGTGCATCTCACAGAGAGAGTGTCATCTGCCATGACCTTGTACTTCCCAGGAGAGACTCCCACCTCCTGTCAGTATGGTGTGTTCTTTGTTCTCAGATGTATGGCTTTGCATCTGGCCATATACAACTCATTGTTTGTTTGCACCCATCTTACCAAGCAATCCAGGTCAAGGTCATTCTGTATTGATGACTTGTCTCTCTCTTATATTTTCTCCCCAGTCTCTGTCATCTGCAAACTTTGCCAGTGATTTGGTTTTTTCCAAGCCATTGATAAAGGTGCTAAATAGCATAGAGGCATAAATTGTTCCTCGCAAGACCCCATTAGAAACAGGTCAACTCCATGCATTTTGAACCCTATTAGCCAGTCTAATTCATTTAATGTGTGGCTATGGAGGTTGGGATTTTTGTACCTTTCTAGATTTAGTTCAGTGTCAAGTCAGATGCTTTACATAACTGTATAGATGTAATATATTTATTTACCTTTATCAACCAAACGTGCAATTCCTCAAAAAGTTCAAGTTAGTCTGATGAGATCTATTTTCCATTTACTCATATTGATTGGCATTAATTATATTGCCTTTCTTTAATTCTTTACTAACAGAGCCCTTTTACTGTCAGCTGTTCTGTTATTTTTCCCAATTTTGGTGTCAGACTGACAGGTCTGTAATTATGCAGGTTATCCTGTTTCCCCTTTTCGAGTATTGACACATTAGCTTTCCACTAGTGCTCTGGAAATTCTCCAGGGGTCTAAGACTCATTGGAAAATTAGCATTGATGGTCTGGAGTCCTTGTGCCAGCTTGTCTAAAACTCTTGAAGGCAAGCTATGCAGACCTGCTGATTTTAAAAATGCCTGACTAGAATAGCTGCTGTTTAATGGCCTCCAGAATTACTGTTGGAATGGAAAGTGTTTGATCATCATGTGACATGATGTCACCATCTGGCTTTTTCCCAACTCCAGAACAGAAACACTTCTGTCTTTCCTGCGTTATTGTTGACCATTCCATCATTTGTATCTAGAAGTGCTCCAATAGCATGGGCAGGGTTCATTTGGCTCTTAATATACTTTAAAACTCCTCCTTTATATTATCTGTACCTCTGCTGGGTGGGTGCCACCTAGGGATGTAAGTGACTATCTGATAAGCATAAGCTTATAAGTAGTGACTCTAGTAGCTTCCTGCCCCTTGCTGCTTCTATCAGCAGTAGCAAGGTGAGGAGTAGGAGCCAGGGCTGGGGTAGCAGGCTTAAGAGCTGGTCTTCCAGCATGGGGGACAGTGGAGGCAGAGGCATAATGGGGTACTGGGCGCCATGCGTCTGTTTTTCAAATATATTAAGAGCTGACATTTAAAAGGCTGAAGCACAGTGGAGGTGGGGGGACCAGGCGTGAGCTAGGAATCAGCTGATTAAATAAAAACCCTCATCGCTCCACAGAATCATTGCATCCTGAATGAAATGGATTAAAAAGTGATGAACAGATCTCCAGACGTAATTATAAGTGGGAAATTGTCACTCACAAGGTGAGGGGAGGAGGTATCTGTCTATTGCACGGGTGGGACACCTAAGTCCTGGGGACAGGATGCGGTCCCTGGGTTGCCTGGTTCTGGCCCCCGAGGCGCAGGGTTCCCCCCCCTCATTGGGGAGCTCATGCTGGTGCCCCAGCTTCCCCCCATTCATCTGTGGGGCTGATGCACACAAAATCTACTAACCCAAGCCCCCCTGTGCCCTGGTGTGCAAGGGGAATGTGAAGAGTGTTTTTCTTCTTCTCAGTCGGGGGGGCCACATTGGCGAGAGTTTTAGGGGTTTTTTTTGTTTCTCGCTTTTGTGTGGCCCCTGACTGATTTTTTTGTGGGTCAGTGGCCCCTGAACCTAAAAAGGTTTCCCTCCCCTGGTCTATTGAGATCCTGGAGGGATCTCTCTTGACCTAGTGCTGTTCAGTGTTTTATCAGTGATGTAGCATGCAAATAAAATCATTGCTGGCAAAATCTGCAGATGACACAAATGGGTTGTGTCAGTGCTTTTTTTGTAAGAAAAAAGGTGCCGGTACCATGGGGTGAAGTTGTTGAGCAACAAACACGCCACACTGGGAGCTGAAAAAAATCCCTGTGTTGGGGGCTGAAATGTGGTCGCAGCCCCTTTCAGAGCCAAAATGCCGCGCTGGGAGCAGGGGGAAAAAAACCCGCTGCGCGTCCCGAGCAGGCTTCTGTCAGGAAAACAGGTGCCAGTACGCATGGGGAAAATGCCATTCCTTTTCTGTGTGCTGGGAAAATGTGACAGTACGCCATTCTGGGCTGTACCGTCACAAAAAAAGCACTGGCTTGTGTTGTAAATAATGATGGGGGACTGGACTGTGGTGCAGACTGTCCTGGATCACTTGGTAAGGTCAATTCACACAAACAACATGTTTTAACATAGCCTAATGCAAGGTCATACACCTAGGAGAGAGAATATAAGTCACGCTTATGAGATGGGAGGCTGTATCCTGGAAGTCAGCCACGTTGAAAAGGATTTGGGGGTCACAGTAGATAACCGATTGTATGTGAGCTTCCAGTGCAATTCTGTAGCTAATGGGGAAGCCAGATCTTCACCAGTATAAGCAGGGGGATACCAAGGGGAAGCAGGGAGGTGGTATTCCCTCTGTGCACGGTGCTAGACAGGCCAGTACTGAATGCGGTGCCCAGTTTTTTTGTCAGCACTGCAAACAGTGTTGGAAAACCAGGCTCAGAAGAGAGCTACAGAAAGGGCTAGATATTTCAAAAGCTGCCTGGCAGTGAGGCATGAAGGCAGTTCAGTGTGTTCAGTTTGTCCAAGAGACGGTGCCGAAGTGACTTGGGCGCATGCACGTTGCACATACTGGTGCAGGTAGATGTCTCCTAGCAGAGCGCTCTAAGCCAGCAGGTGAGGCAGAGAGACCGTGTGGCTGGAGCGGAACTGAGACAAGTTCAAAGTAGAAATGGAGCACAAATGTTTAAGGGGGCAGGGAATTAACCACTGCAGCAGGTCACCCAGGGACCAGTTCTGAAAGCTCTGCTCCAGCTCAGCCAGGAGTGGGACCTGGAGGCAGGAGTTGCTAGGGAGGGTCTGTGGCCTGGACTAGGCAGGATTCATAGAATCATAGAGCTGGAAGAGACCTTAGGAGGTCATCAAGTCCAGCCCCCTGCCCTAGGCAGGACCAGTCCCAACTAAATCAACCCGGCCAGGGCTTTGTCAAGCTGAGACTTAAACACCTCTAGGGATGGAGACTCCACCCCCGTCCCTAGGGAATCCCTCCCAGTGCTTCCCTTCCCTCCTCGTGAAATAGTTTTTCCTAATATCCAACCTAGACCTCGCCCACTGTATCTTGAGCCCATTGCTCTTTGTTTTGCCATCCGTCACTACTGTGCAGCCTGGGAGAGTGGCCTGGTCTCTTCTGGCTTCAGTCTGTGAATCTGTTGATGATGTATGATAGTAGCACCCACAGGCCCTGCTCGGGATCAGGCTCTGTCCTGCTGGGTTGACATGGCCAGAACCAGTCCCTGCCTGAAGGGCTTAGCCTGAAGACTAAGCAGAGAGGTGGAGGCAGGCGTGGTGCCTGGGATAGCTGGGAGCTGGAGGGGTGATCTGCCAACCAGCTGTTTTTCACATGTAGAGTTTGTGGGGAGAGCTGGCTGAGTAGTCCTACTCATTTTGTGGGTTGGTGCTGCCCTCAGCCGAGGGAATGCTGTCATTGCATAGCCACCAGGCTGTACTTAGAGCAGTGTTTCTCAACCTTTATCAACCTTTTTTTATAAAGTACCCCTTTTTTTTAAAGTGCCCCCAGTACCTACAGTTTTCAGACATGCACGGTTTTTTCTACCATTGCAACACATTTGTTTAAACAACTTAATTGTAGCCAGGTGGGTGGTGAAATTTTGGGTGTAAAAAGTACAAAAATAATAAAAGCGCTGTAAAACTTAAAACAAAAACTCAGTTTTCTCCCGTTTCAGTTGTGTTGACTCCCCGTCCCCTCCCCTGACTTCTCTCAAGTACCCTAAGAGTACTCGTACCACTGGTTGAGAAACACTGACCTAGAGCAGTGGTTTTCAAACTTGTTTTTTCTCATGACCCACTTGAAGAAAATTGTTGATGTCCACGTCCCAACATAATGTGACTGGAGTGTGGGCTCCGGGATGGGGCTGAGGGTGAGCTTTGTGCAGTCTGTGGTGCCAGGATGGGCAGGAAACCTGCCCTAGCACCCCCACTGGTCGGTCACCTGATCACCCTGCAGCAATGGGACCTAGTGCCTAACATTCCAGGGCCTAGTACTGAGTCACAACCCCCAGTTTAAAAACTACTTCCTAGAGCAGAGGCTCTCAACAGTCTCCCCCTCTGGTGGCTTGTCTGGCATACCCCAAGTTTCACCTCACTTAAAAATACTTGCTTACAAAATCAGACATTATAAAAATACACAAGTGTTGCAGCACGCTATTCCTGGAAAATGGCCGACTTTCTCATTTTTAACACATAATACCCTAGAATAATTGATTGGAATGTACTGTGCTTACAGCTCAGTGTACAATATGTAAAGTAGTAAAAACACGTCCTTGTATGAAATTTCATTTTTTATTGAAAAAACTTTAAACAACAAATAGTCTGGTAGCACCATGGATTAAGAAAACGTGGATGGGATCATGCACTTTCGTGGGCGCAACCCACTCCCTTTCATCTGAGACAGTGGGCTGTGCCCACAAAAGCTCATGATCCCATCTGCATGTTTTGTTCATCTCGAGGGTGCTGCTAGACTATTCGTTTACGTTTTTTGCGTTACACACTAACTTGACTGCCCCACTGAAGCTTTTGAATTTTCTATTGACTTTGCTTGTGCTTTTAATGGAGCCTATTGCAGAACTCTGCAAACATCTAGATGAGATAATGTACGCCAGGGTACATGTTCTCCTGGCTGAGATCCACCCCTGCCCTAGAGCAAGAGAATGGGGAGGTCATAGTTTTTATTGAACCCACTTCTGGTGATAGACACTTAGAAGCCACACAGAGGTCCCCTAGAAACTCTGGAATTAGACATGAAATGAGGTGATTGGGAGTGGGAGGAATCCTGGAAAATGAGGGTTGGAGGAGATGTCAGGAGGGCATCTATCTCCTGCTTTATGCAGGTTCTAGGCAAAGCCATGGAGGGTCAGTGTGGGGAGCTGCAGGATGTCTTGTGTCTGCTGAAATCCTCTTCTTCCTGCAGCTGGAGATCCAGAACACCAGCAGCCTGTCTGCAGACGGAGACCACGGAGCCACGTGGCCCATTGGCATCACGCCCCCATTCCAGCCCAAGACACGCTTTGAGGTGCTGCGCTGGGACTACTTCACAGAGGAACAATTGTACTCCTGTGTGGATGGCTCCCCGAAGTGTGAACTGCACGGTGTGGACATGGCAGATGTGGCTGACGTGGTGGCCACGGCCATGGAGGAGCTGACCCGCAAGTCCCAGCCAGTGCTGCACATCCGCAAGCAGCAGCTGGTGAACGGGTACCGGCGCTTTGACCCCACACGGGGCATGGAGTACACGCTGGACCTTCAGGTGGAGGTGGTGACGCAGAAGGGGCACAGCCGCTCGGTCATCAAGCGCGTGCACCTGGTACGGCCCCTCAGTGAGGTGGAGATCATTCCCATGCCCTATGTGACTGAGGCCAGCCGCATCAATGTCATCCTGCCACTGACAGCACATGACCGGGACCATGCTAGCCACTTCCTAGAAGTGTACGCAGCGGCCGCCTTTGAGAGCAGAGAGAACGCTGTACTCACCTTCCTCTTTATCTACGACCCCTTCGAGGCCCAGCAGGTGGTGCAGAATGACATCTTTGCCCCGGTCAAGGCCAGGATTGCTGAGTACGAGCGCAAGTATGCTGAGGTGAAGATCCCCTGGATCAGCGTCAAGACAGATGCGCCCTCCCAGATTAAGGTCATGGACATCATCTCCAAGAAGCACCCTGTGGACACACTTTTCTTTGTGGCTGGTGTGGACACTGAGGTCACCACTGACTTCCTGAGCCGCTGCCGCATGAACACCATCAACAGCTGGCAAGTCTTCTTCCCCATCCATTTTCAGGGCTACAACCCAGCCATTGCCTACCACAACCAGGCACTGCCCGCTGCCCTGGACCTGCTGCGGGATGCCGGGCGCTTTGACCGAGACGTCTTCCACGAGGCCTGCTTCTACAATGCTGACTACATGGCAGCACGCACCCGCATGGCGGTCGACGCGCAGGAGAACGAGGACATCTTGGAGACCTTGGACATCTATGACATGTTCGTCAAGTACTCCAGCCTGCATGTCTTCCGGGCCATGGAGCCTGCCCTGCTGCAGCGCTATCGGCAGCACGCCTGCAACCCGCGCCTCAGTGAGGAGATGTACCACCGCTGCATGCAGAGCAGCCTGGAGGGGCTGGGTTCCCGCTCTCAGCTGGCCATGGTGCTCTTTGAGCAGGAGCAGGGCAACAGCACCTGAACTACAGGAGGGGCCAGTTTAGCCAGGCTCCCTACGACCTGCCCCCCTACGACCTGCCCCCTACGACCTGCCGTATCTGCCCTGCTGGCTCCTGTTCTCCCCCCCCTTGGTGCAGTGGTCACTCTGCTGGGCTGGGGTGTGGAGGGGGGGACTGTCCTGTCAGGGGTCCTGTGATCTCTTGGGGCAGGAAGGGGTCTCACTTGTGACTTGGTTAGAGGATGGGGCTGGAAGTCAGGCCGCCTGGTTCTGATCCCAGCTCTACTCTGGATCCTGCCCGGTCTCAATGTCTCCCTTACCCTGTGTTCATGGGGCAGTGATTCTGAGCAGCTCCTGGCAGGGGAGTTCTTGTGGGCTGGCCCCGAGGCAGGTCCAGGATTTGCTCCAATAACTCTGCTTCCGTGAAATGGCCCCAGTAATCTTGGTGCCTGGTAGAGGGGCCTGGAGTCTGCAGGGAGGATAGAGCCCCTCTCTCCTCCATTTGTCATGTGGGCCATGCAGGGGCTGCCTCCTCCCAGTGCAGCATGGACCCTCTGCGCCTGTGTGTGGGGGATGCCTAGCCCTGCCCCGCAGCTTCTGTGTGCTGGTGACAGGTACTGATGTGGGTGGACAGGCCTGGCCATGCAGCTCCATCCCACAGCGAGGTGCAGCACCCCCATCTCTTGCCTTCTGCCCCATGAACTCTGCTGGTTCCAGTGGTCAGAGGCTCCCATGGCTGGCAGGGTGGGGAGCTCTGGCCCTCCAGTAATCACCTAACTTTGCTCCCCAGGTGCTGGTCACCTGGAATTTGGAGGCTCTGAGAGCCTCCTGTTTGGTACAATGTGGGGTGTTCTGCCCCATACCCATGGTGTCCCTGGAATGTTGCTGGGCAAGAAGGATTAGAGCTGCAGGCTCTATTCGGCCTGATCCAGGGCTCTGTGTCCCAGGGAGCACAGGGTGCTGGCTCCTGGCTTGTGTTCTTGCAAGCACAGCAGTGGCTCTGGGCAGCTGCTTTAAGTGCTGTTGTAGAACTGGGAGAGAGTGGGGGATTGAGGGTTTCTCTGGTACGTATGGAGAATAAGGCATTTAACTTCAGTACGGTGCATCTCTGACAACAACCCGCTGGCCTGAACACTTATAGGACTCAGGCCCCAGGACGTGGGGGTGCAGGGGCAGCAGGAGTCCTTCTATGCATTGACTGTGCTGCTCCCCATGGGAACCATGACCCAGGCCGTTTTGGCCTCTGCAGTATTTTATATGTCTTGAGGTTGCAGCCCTTGGACGAGAGCCTCCCATGGGAGGTTTGAGCTGTCTCTGCTGCTAGCCCAGCAGGCCTCACTCAGCTGCTCCTGCTGGTGCAGTCACCTGCTACTCATGGGGCTACCTGAGGGGGTGGGGGATCTAGCCCCCATTGACCACAATCTGAGCCCCGCACAGGAACACGTCTGCTTGGAATCAGGCCCTTCTCTGAGCTGGCCTCCGTGGAATTGTGCTCTCTGCACTGAGCTGCCGATGCAAGACTGTTCCCGGGGAGTGGCAGTGCTGCTGGCCCTGCTAGAAAGAGTGGAACAGTTTGGGTGCACTCTGAGCCTCCCAAGGAGAAAACGACTGGAGTCAGATTCGACTCCAGGTTTATATTTAATGGCGGGGCTGGGTGATTGTGTTTACACTGCAATAAAATGGAGAGGAGAACTAGTCTGGCTACAAATTCTTCACTGCAGAGTGGGAATGTGGGGCAGCAAAGGAGGGGACAGAGGGACTTGTCTCAGAGTGGGGGAGGGGTGGGAGCAGAGCGAGGAGGGTCCCAAAGCAAGGCTGTCCCTTCTTTATGGTGCAGCTGGGGGCGACGGACTGCAGCATGCCCCCGTGTGTTGCCCTGGGCAGAGCTGAGGCACAACTGTTTTGCTCTGCCCAATGGGGAGCTGTGGGTGCACAGGGGTACAGCTCCCCCTTCCCCTGAGGCATGACTGTGGGGAGCCACTCCTACTCCCAGCGCCTTTCTGCTGGAATGGCTACTCCTGGTGCTGGGACAGTGTCAGCTCCCAGCAGGTGGCCTGGTGTTGGGTTGTGCCCCGTGGCCTGTTCTCTGCCCTATCTAGTACTAAGCTCTCTCCATAGATCATCACCTTGTAGTGATGGAGAGGCTTGCATGTTCCAGTGACCCTTGAGAGTGATGCTGCCTGGAGTCATCTGCCATGGGTGACCCTAAGGGAGCACAACGGTCAAGGGTGAGGATCCAGACAACAGCTTGTAAGGTGGGCCTCTGAGCTGCCAGTTGGCATCAATGAGACTCCAATTGAGGCTCACCAAAAAGCAACAGGTAACTATTGTGAGTGCCTGTGTGCTGACAATGGATACCAACAGTGGTAGCCAGAGGTCAGCTGTAGTTGCATGTCACCAAAATTAGAACCTATGGATATTACTGACTTGGTACAGCCACTTTTCCAAGGATCTTTACATCTGTTTCCCTTTCTGAATACAGTAAAGTGAAAGTGACTGAATGATCTATGATAAATGTATTTTGAGTGTCTTATTTAATATTATACGTTAAATGTTAAGTTACATACACCATTAACTTACAAGGCTACTCTAACTTCGTAGCAGATAACATTTAGTGAATTGCAAATAATTCTATTGAAGGGTTTTTGCAAGAAAACAAACTTCACAAGCTAAGCTCAAATTTGTGTTCAAAATCACTACTTTGTATTTGTACAAAATGATGCAACATGCTCATTTTTCTTCAGAAGTTAGATAAAATATGCCACTACTATGCCAAATGAGGTGATGCAGCTTTTTGAAAGAGGTTTAAAAGAATCCCAGTTTATATTTAAATTATTCATTAGAAAAATGGAGACAGAAGCCCAGCAGCAGAGTGGGGGCTATCCTGTTTATTGTGTTGAGTGTAACATGTATGGTTACCTGCCCTGTGGACGGGTGGCGTATGTGTGCACCCGTTGCAAGGAGCTCCTGACCCTCAGAGACCAAGTTTGGGCTTTGGAGGCCAGGGTGGCTGAACTGGAGGCGCTAAGGGAGGTAGAGAGCTATGCTAAGACTTTCCGGGACACTGTAGTACTGTCCCACCTCCAGTCTGAGAGCCCCAGTGCTCTTAAGGAGGATGAAAGTCTCAAGGGAACAGAGCATTCAATGGGAGCAGAGGGAAACCATCCCGTAGTTGGGACCCTCCTCCCAGAGGATGTTGCGGCGGGACACTGTAGTACTGTCCCACCTCCAGTCTGAGAGCCCCAGTGCTCTTAAGGAGGATGAAAGTCTCAAGGGAACAGAGCATTCAATGGGAGCAGAGGGAAACCATCCCGTAGTTGGGACCCTCCTCCCAGAGGATGTTGCAGTATCCTCTTGCACTGAGGATACCTCTGATGGGGAGGGAATGCCAGCTAGGAAGCGGCAGGGGGTTGGGGGGGGGGGG